AAGAAATTGTGGGAAAGAAACAACAGAGAATGAGGGAAATAGAGAAAGGGAGAGGGATACAGAAAGAGAGAATGAGAATGGAGAGAAAGAGAGAGAATGAAAGAGACAAAAGAGATAGAGAGAGATAGTGATAGATGTGTATATATACAGAAAGAGAGAGATAAACAGAGGGAAAGAGACCTAGGGAGAGAGTGAGAGAGAGAAAGGAGGATGTTGCATTGAGCTGTCTGAAGGAATGCTGTTTTATTGCTCTTTTTTCTCTGGCCGCTGCTCTCCTGAATCACTGGGCCTGATCAGAATGAGAATGAGGCCGGCGCTGGCCCGCCGTCGTCTCATTGATGGGAGCCTCCACCAATCACCCGCACACACACTCCCATTCATCTGCACCGCACGGCACTGTGGGTAAACTCTTACATCATTGCCCTCCCATATCACAAACACTCAAATATGCATGCCTGTTCCCGCCACTGCACAGTTACACAACACCACGCAGCAGCCACACACACACTGCACCGAGGGTGCTGCAGCTTGGACTCCTAAATGAAAAATGCTTACAATACTGTACTGCAGTGCTTCACAATCACACTTAGGACACATAACGTCACTATCATGATAAAACCTTGCATCTTCATTTTTGTCATGTTTTAAATTTGTTTTTTTTTTTGAGAACTTACAATTTCATGATCAATGGACCAACAAAATTGGTGCAAAATTCCTTGTAAAAAATCTTTTTACATTAACGTCCAATAAAAGCTATGAAGATTTTTCCTTCTCCTGTAAAGTTACCATTCTGGAGATCCATGGTTTTGTTCCAAGCTATTTATATAATAAACATGCATGCATCTTCATGCAATGTCAGCAGTTCATAATATCCAAATGAGCTCTAGGTCTGAGCCATTTTTGTTTACAATGAAAATGAATAGTGTCTTTGAAAATCACCGCTAGCGTGCAGTGTGATTAACTCATGAGTGCCAAAGCCAATAGCCTTATATTGCTAAGTAGTCAAAATAGAAATGTTCAGCTTATGCTACATGTGAACGAACACTACACATTTTTTTATTCCTTTATTTTTTTGGATTTTTATTCTATTTTCTCATGGCCAATTCCACCTGCTACTTAGGTCTAGGGATGGGAGGGAAGCCAGGGGAATTACTTTCTCTTGGACTCGCAACCCCCCGGTTTCATTATTTGGGAGATGCCACTCCTACCCTGTAGCCCTTTTGTGCAGCCCCGCTAGTGGCCATTCTGCCAACAGAATAAGAATCAACTTTTTCAATAATATAATTAAATAAAAATATTTTATTCACACTGTGTGTGAATTGTTGTGACTCTCAAACTGATGGAAATTGTTTTATAGCTACTGTGAAACAGGGTTAATTGACATCATAAAACGTAGCTTTCAGTAAGTTTTTGATGTCAGTTCAATACGTAAGAGTGTTCACTTGCTTGTAGCCTCAATGTACCAATATTTTTATTCCAACCACGTAATGACTTTGTAACTCAGAGGAAGATGTACTCAAAATATATGTTTTTGCTTGTTTTTTTGGAGTTTTACCCAAAATTTCTCCCAAATTTGTTGTTGCCATTCCCATTTTCTAGCTAGGTCTCCTTATCTCGTGATGCTACAAAGCTGGGAGGGTGAAGGCTAGCACAAGCTTCCTCCAAGACACATGAAGTCACTCTTGACATCTTTTGGAACTGCCACAGCTCAACGTTCTTTTTAGGAGAATGCTAACTAAACATTCTGTTACTTCAGTTAAGAGACACTTGCGTTGGCTAGTATCACACTGAGTGATGTGGAGAGAGAGTCTATCTTACCCACCTGGAGAGAGCTATGCCAATAACACAGGCAACAGATGATATCACTGGGGATTAAACTCGTGATCGCCTGATGGTAGGACCAACAGTTAGATGGTTGCACCACTTGAAATACTGGCTTTGCAATATATATATATATATATATATATATATCTATATATATATATATATATATATATATATATATATTTTCAAAAAGGGCTTTCATTTTTCCCACAGACAAAAGTGTCTGCTTTACACTGCGTGATTACAGTGGTCCATACTGTGCAAGATGCTGAAAATAAAATCTTGGCAAAAGTCCATGTCAGACTGGACAAATTCACTTATGCTGCACATCAGATTATATGATAAAGATTTTATGGCAATAGATTTACGATGCAAAAAAGTCATGCACTTCCGTTTTTGGCCAAAAAATACGCTCACAAATCAGTGACAAAAAAATCAGCAGCATAAAAGTGGCGATGCTTTGTCTGAAAAAATACATATTAATGGCTAAGAAGGAGAAGATGGAGCTGCTCCTGGCTGGGAGAAAGGGCTACATGTTGAGGTCAGTGGGCTAATTGTTCCACTATGCAGTAGCAAGCTTTGTTATTTACCTGCAGGTCACTCTACATGTGAACTGAAGGCTGGGCCAGACTAATAACTTAAATATTAATAGCTAATATTCTTAAATTCTTCAATATTCTTGTGAACAATATAGTTTTTACTTTATTTTATTATCTCTCTCCCTCTCAAATGGGCACAAAAACATGCCATTCTGTGCTGCTCATAATTGGTTGTTTTTAGACGTGTGTTGTAGCTGTGGTCACACTGCGAAATTCTAGATCAAAATTTCTGACACTACCAGAACTTTGTCATAGTCGTTGGTCACAGAAGTGGTTAAACATTTCAAGACCACCAATTGTGACAGCATTACCGTGTCAATAATCGCACAGTGTAAACCTTCCCTTAGAGCTGGAGTCCTGATCTGGGCATGTCACCAACTATTCAACTATTCAAACACCACCCACTCTGTTAGAAACATCTGCCTTGTACTTCCGTTCAGTGGCTACTTTATGAGCTCTACCTACTTTAACAGCTCCACTGGTTAGGTGTAAAATTACAGCTTATTTAAT